TTAACTATGAGAAGTATTTGGCGTATTGCGTCTGACTATGGCAGGGTTATCCATAGAACTAGGAGCCATAAATATCAATGACCTCTGATGTTTAAGAGCAGCTGTGAGAGTAAAGAATTTATTTTTATTTGATGGGTCGACTCTTGACTAAATTTTTTACTATCAATACAGGATATTTCATCGACAGTAACGAAGGTTGATGCAAATGATCCAGCTAAATTAAATATCATAAAACTTTGGGGTTTTTTTTTGCATGATAAAAATCATAGTGTATTTTGGTCAAATATTTGGCTACTTTTTTTTATGATCCATCACAAGCTAAAAATATTTTTGTCATTTAAAAAAAATCTTACGTAACTTGCAAACAACTTGTAACTTCTTCTAAAATAACCAAGACAAGATTGTTTTTTTCAGGGAGCCAGCCAAACACGCCGTGTCACTAGAAAACATGAGCAGGTATACATACATAGTCGCACAATAAAAAAAACAAAAACTAAATAAATTCTATTGATTTAAAAAATACTAAATACATGAAATATGTGCAATTACAAACTATTTTTAATCCATACTGATTTTCTATAACTTTGTACTATCTTAGAAAACTAACACAGGCATAATAATGAAGCTTTTAAGGCTTTCTTTATCACGCATATACATAACCTTCAACCTACCGTGACGAATCAGAAATAACTAATCAACTAGATAGAGGGTTGCGCATTCAAATAGTACTACTTTAAACAACTCTAATTCTGAAATTGGCATCAAGTATTGAATTCAAATCTTACAACTATTAAGTTGTTGTTATAGTAGATGCCCAATAGTACATGCTAACACCGAATCCAGACACACACTGCCTCAAAAAGTAAGTGCAATTCAAATAGTTGTTTAAGTTGTATTGTACTCAACTATAATTCTCGACATTTGTATAGGTAAATAGGTAAAAAGGTAGATAGGTAAAGAGATATGAGTAAGTGATAAGTACGTGTATATTCTTTCTTTGATCATTTTTTAATACACAAATCGCGTACTGAAATTATAATATGACAAAATGTGAGGTACGACAAAAAAACACATTAATATAAGTTTGAAATAGTAAAAACTAACGCTGCTTACATAACATTTATTAGCAATAAAATAAAATGATTGAGGGCTACTGTAAGATTAATACTTGTTGTGATGTCATTTCAGTGTGATAAACGTAAAAACAAAAGTTTAAGAAAAAAAGTCAGATTTTATAGTTTTCGTAGCATAATAGAATGGTATAATTGATATGACTGACGTTAATTATTCTATTTTCAAGCTAAAACTCCTTGATCTTATGTTAGAAAACATTTTTATAAGAAGTTACTCTAATGAATATGATTTGTAATATTTTAAACATAGACAGTCAAATTTTTGCCAAAAGATAGTAAAGTTATGAAATCAATTAGAGAGACAAAGTTAATGTGAACATACTCCATATTAAACTGTGTAACTGATTATTTTGTTACTCAAGAAAAAATTGTTCAAAGGCTAAAATTACAGTAATAACTAAATTTTACTTAAAGAAGTAATTTTGAAAAAATTGAGTAAAATTTGACGAATATTTGATGATGTGAAGAGAAATGGTCACAGGAATAAAATTTTTTTATTATCATAATCATATTAAAAATCTCGTAAAAATGAATTGATAAGAAATAATAAAATAAAAAAAAGCTTTTTTGCTTTATTATCTTAAAATCAAAAGTATTTTAATACAATTGTTTTCAAAAATGTCATTTAGTTACTGACAACTTTTTGTTTTCCATATTTTGTGCTGAGGACTTTTAAACTTACAAAATAAGTACACGTATTGAAAAGGTGAAAATTTATTTTAGAAGATTGAAAAAAAAAAAAGTACGAAAATAAAGATAAAAAATATAACCAGGATCTATTGTATATAAGAAAATCATTTGAAAATAATATCACGAAACTATTTAAAATAGTTGTACAAGCGAATAAAACAAGGCCTACACTTGATGAATAAGATACAAGAAGGCGAATCATGGCTTAACAGGAACGTATAACGTATGGTAGAATATTGTGATCTACATGTACTAATGAAATTTGTGCAGATTGACTGATATCATCTAGTAATAGCTGAGCAGTGTTTTACAAAACTTAAGTTAGTTGAAATTTTTGCTCGATAGGCCATAAAAAAAGATAATAGTCCAGGCGCCGGAACACAAAAAACTCAACAAACATAAGCCACGTAGACGGCAGGAGGCAGTTCCAATATATTTTGAGACTGGAGCTCTATGAAATTTATCTACAATTTCAACTCACAAAAAAGTTATTGGATATGACGCCAAGTCATTTCAATGCTTAGGATCAATGGTAAATCAATTAAGTTGGAGCGCAGAAAACAGGAAAAGATCATTAAAACGACAACAAAAGCCACAAAAGTATCAAAAGTATTATAAGTGCCAAGCCAGACTCCATTAGTATTACTCTCTTTGAGAGTAAGTCCATTTTCACGTGATTAGAAATATGTACTTTCTAGTGTTCAATCAGTGTGGAGAACAAAATCGCTTACATCGTTAATGGAGTTATTAACATAGATACATGTATTATCAGCACATTGGTTACATCTGCAGTCTAAAAACTTTTAACAGCTTGTTGACAGATAAATTGTATGTTATCAAAGTATGTATCAACATATAAACACCAAACATACAGCTATTGTAAGAATCATCATATCATTATCCTTATCTCATATTCTAAAACTAAGATGTAGGCATGCCTATCTTCCTTTTATTCTGCTGTTCTATAAAATTTATCCTCAGAGAACGCATAGTTAGTTAAACAATGTAACTGAGACTAAATTTCCGTAAAACTAAGATCTGTTTTTTTTTCATTTATGTTTATTCCATCTCAAAATTCTGTTCAATATCATTGCTCTAAGCTCTTCTAGTTACCCTTAAAAAATTCTGCATATTCAAAACTTTTAGTAAGCTGATTTCAATAGACTAGCTGTGATAATTAATGATTTATAAATTACGAATAACAACTTTTTCATGTTGTCAATGAAAGGCAATAGTAAGTAGTCTAACTGATAGATTTGAATCATTCGGAACGAAGTTGTTTGTTTAACTACGGAAGAAAAAAAAAATTTAATACTATTAAAGAAAATTAGATCACATTTTCAGAGCAATTGACAAACTATTTTTGCAATAAAATGAAATATTAGGTTTACGTCCATGTTTATGGTTTCCGAAGGAGACTCAAAAAACAGCATCAAATGAACTAAACTTTTCACTATTATAAAAAGAAAATTAAAATCTCGTATCAAAAGTCCTAACTATTTAAGAAAGCAGACCAAAGGAAGATTTTTATACTTAACAATAGAAAGAGACGTTTTTTAGACTAATTAATCGATTCATACGTACCAAAAAGGAAAACTTAAGCTATAATGAAAAACTTAGCAGGGTCGGAACTTTTCAACAGATAAATTTTCCAACAAGTTTACCTAAAAAGGTTAATATTTAAAATAACTTGTTTATTGACAAGTAATGTCCAAGTTCTTGGAGAAGTAACTGCTTGAAAACTAACAGCCTCATAAACATTGAGATTCTTAAAAAGGTATGTACCTTACGATGCAAGTACAACCATCTTATTTTCTTTTAATTTAACATTTATTTATCACAGTTTTAAGTTAACGGTAGTTACTAAGATGTTATTCCACTTTATGCAAAAATTTTATAAGTCTACATGTAAAAATAGATTAAAATAAATGTAACAAAAAAAATGAACCTGATCATTATATCTAGCTTAAGAATTCCAATAAATCTAAATGAAAATTGTTTGACTGAAAAATTACATAGGATGTATATTAGCAATCAACAACAACACTAAGAATAATTTGAATAAAAAACCAGGTGTGGATCTCGGAACTCCCGGAAGAAGTGAAACTTCCAACTCAAGTATTATTAAACTTGCTATAACAGAAACTGAGGAAATTAGATCAGAATTAATTTTAGTAGGTCTTTAAGAATCCGATATTAAAATAGTAAAAATTTTATTATTACGTATTTGAGCACGCGCTTGCATAAAATACATATACTTATGTTACATGTAATTCGCGAATTCTGAGAACTTCCATATTTGCTATGATTTACGTATTAATATATTTACGAATTGTTGGTCGTGTAATGCAGAATCAAACAAAAATTTTTCCCATAACACCCCGAAATAAGGTACTTTTGTCCAGTTACGTGGGACAAAGATTCTTTTTACTTAAAATTACTTTGCATGCATTTGATATGATCATGTATGTACAATTTATTCTTGTTTTAATCATTGTATCCAACAAATTAAATTTTTTTTAACTTTGGCTACCATAAAAGTGAAATAATCCACTGGAATGTAAGAAAAACATTTCACACATAGCTATTTTCTTGTTTTCAAAGGTAAGATTGTCGTATTGTACATGTTTATTACTTTATGCACGTTTTTTTACATACATTTATACGTATAACGATGTATGTAATGATCAGGACATGCAACACGTAAATATACATACGAAGTACATACGTATACTTTGCCTCTAGTATAGGTACAGCTGTTTTTTTTTCTTTTTTTCTCTTTTCTCCGTACCTATACCTCAGCTTGAGCAAGCGCATCGGTTTAGTGTTAACTTAGAAGCATACATACTAACATAGCTATAATATATGTATACGTACATAGATGTAGTACCAGCGTGAGGGAAAAGGAGCAAGCGGCGTACATGCAAGAGAAAGAGAGACGGAACGGTAGACAGTAGGCACGTGCTGCGAAAAAGAGACGGAGTGAAAAGGAGAGTGTGTAAGAGAGGAGATTGAGGAGAGGGCTTGAGCCGCAGGGAGGGTCGCTACGTTTTTTCGTAACGTATAACCCTTATTGTGGCTGTTTATAGCCCCAACATAAGAAGTTTCACTTAAAAAAGCAAGTGTACAAAAAGCTCTTTGATATATTAAATGTAGTCATGACGTAAATTAAATTACCTTCGTTACTTAATACAGCTGTTTTTGAAAAATTCGAAGATCTTTCTGGATTAATTATCTCGAACAAATGATCACTTTTTGTTTTTATTGGTGAATTTGATTGTGTGGAAGTTCGACCGTACTGATTAAAGTTTTTATGATTAGAAGTGTTATTGCTGTTATTACTGAATAAAGTATCTTGGTTTACTATGGATGGAGTAACTTTCTGTACTGGTCTTTTATCAGTGGTCCCACCACAAAAAATTTGCTTACTCCGTATTGTACTCATACTCATGTTTTTTAAGTTTACTTTATCATTACTGTTGGAATTCTCTGAGAAAATAACCTGTTCCCTTGACTTGTAAGCGCTTAATCCATCACTTAGTCTCTGTTGTTTAAGAGCTTCTTTATATTCCCTAAAAAATTGATCTATGTAGAGTGATATGATATTAATGTAAAATGATTTTTAAGAGTCTAGCTAATATCTGTTGGGTTATCATTTTCATTAACTAAGCAAAAGTCACATTCGAGAAACTACCTCTCAAAAAGTCGCAGTAACTATTCAGACAAAAATCATTTTTAACACCTTACACTAAAAAAACATTCCTAAAGTAATGTAGCTATTACAAATTATCTTTATTACTTTCAGACCAAGCACAATTATCTTTTTTTTTTTGAAGCTCAATCTAAGTTACCTGTTCTTACAATAAAATACTTGACTAGCTGCTTGTTCTATTACTATGGAAATTATTCTTTCGTAACCTTAATTTAAAGTAACTGTTTTTTCAATTCAACTGCTGATTTATAAAAAACTTAGAAAAAGTAAATAAATGAACAAAATCTTTGTTTACAGATAGATAGACTTATATATGTGAGTTAACGTTGTACAGGATAATACATTGATGTATCGTTCGGTTTATTTGGAATTATCTGAAAGTTTTTATAAAACTGTAATGAAATGTGAACAGTATTGCCTCATACTTCATGACAAAAATTACTCTTTGAATACAAGTTTATGAAAAAAAAACAATTAAAAATGTTTATTCAATTATAAAAGAGTACTCATGCATTATATAAGTAACAGTGGTTTCTTATACAAAAAAATTTCTTTCTAAAAACTAAAAATGTAATACTCAAAAAATGTAACACTATTCTTAAAATTAGAAATACATAGCGTGTATAGTCTATATTGCTTTACACATTTTGCACGAGAATTCGCATACTACTATTGCCATGAATATATCTTCTTTCGTTAATAACCCCTGAACAACTCAGCAAATCTGTCCAATAACTGACTTAAGGAATCTGATCATCATCTGTTACTAACAGTAGAAGCGTAAGTTAATAACTTTTTTGTTTGATTCCTAATCATTTCTTGCCCATTGACATGTCCAAGTCTTCTTCAGGCTTTTTGGAACATTAATAGAGATGCAGAAACCAGTTTTTCTTACGTTATCAATTAAATCTTGACTTAATTCATGTTTGTTTCAAGCAATTTTTTCTTTGATAACATCTCCTTTTTATTCCTGAGATCTTATTTTATGGTTAAGTTGCCATAAAAACTTTTGCGTTAAACTTTATCTCGGCTCCCAGCTTAAAATGTACACAAAACCAAAATGTATAAAAAGAATAGATAGATGGTATAATAAGATTTGTAAGCATGTTTATTTGTTTCGTTGAACTTACTTACTCTTTGCTAAAATTGAATTTTAAATGGAGAGTCAGTAATATCAAGTACTGCGAAGCAAATACATAATAAAATCTGCTTTTCTAGTTTTCTGTTTAGTACTACAATAATGAAATTTTTTAGTAACAAAAAAAGACTTTAATACCAGCATCAAGTCATAATTTTGGTATTCACAAGCTTTTAAAAAACGACATTTAACTGAGGAAGTTCACACTTAAAAGTTTGCTCTAATTTTTAAACATTCAATTCACTTAAGCATGTTACAGCACTCAAATGCCCCAGCAGAGTATTTGACTAGTTTAGACGATTTTTGGCGCTTCCCAGCTGACAGATATTTATTTGAACGTTAAAAAAATTTTTTTCTACAGTCTGGGAGTCAAAATTGCCACAACATTTATTCCATACAAAAATTGTTATGAAAAAATGTTTGGCAAAGTTGTGGCATTACTTTTTTTTGTTTGGAGAGTACATTTTTTTTAGGAGTCATTTTGGATACTAAAGAAGTCCTAATCCTTCCGCAAATGGCAATTTTCGAGGACAACTTTTCATTTCCAATTCATTAAACCAGGTTGTGGCAGTAATATCGCTTAGACCATATGACCCTTTTTATATTATCATAGAACTGATTACCAAGAGAAGAAATTACTAAAATATTTTGGATCTCCATGAATCATGAATTTTTTTATTTTTTGTGAAAGTTGCAGCAATCAGTTTTTTTTAACACCCCCTGGGTTGAGCTCTTAGTCTATCAGCACCGAGGATAAATTTAGAGGGGATAAAACAGTGTGTACCAGCGCCCATGTGTCCACCAAAGGAAACCTGAAAATGGCATCAAATCCACATAGTCCGTAGACATCTTGAGAAGGGTATGCTTCTTAGATTTGACGGGCACCAGGCAGTTCAGGGGACTATTTGTTGTGGTAGTGGGATTCCAGGGAAGGGGGTGAGGGCGTGGGCAGCGTTGGATTGTGTATTGGCATTTGTGAGGGCATAATCTTGTTAAGCTTTAATCTTGCATAAGCTTTCCGCTTTCATTGATGTAGATGCGTAGGCCAGTGCTGCTTGTGCTTTAAAAAAAAAAATCATTATTAACGTTTACTGGTTAATACGTTACAAAAAATACTTTAATATTCTAAAATGAAAAATGTCCAAGTGGAACAAGTACCTTAGACGATAACCTCTTTAAGAGAATTCGACGGCAGTGATCCAGTGAGAGCCTGGGTGACTGCCGTAGGCCCCACGGATTCTGGGGGGGGGGGAGTTGGCACACAAAAATTCTGTTTATGGTTAATAGGAAATATTTAATGTTCCACAACCTTTCCCAGATAAAAGACGAAGACCGAGCCTCTCAAGCATTGGCAGTAACGTCAGTAACCAGATGCAAGAGAAGCTCAACTCTACATGTATGAAAAAGATGGTGTGAAACTTAAAGCAAAGCCCAGAAACTGAACAAATACAATCTGCTATAAAGAAGATTGAAAAGACGCTTAATGCCATTAACCAAAAGTATAGAAAGATGGTTGTTAAAACTGGTATTATAGCTATTCTTTAACACCTGAAACAAGTAGCAATTAAAAGAAACGCTGTTTATTAAGAAAATAGCAAAATACAGAAAACTCTAATAAAAGTATTTCAAATCTTAGCAACTCGAGAAACATTGAAGAGATGTTTTTTGTCAACATGTTCATAAAAAAATCTAAATTGTGCTGTCAAGGAAATAGAACTGGTAGAAAGAAACATAATTCTATTAGACAGCCCCAAGAAAAGCCATAAATTAGCATTCTCTACGAAAAAAAGAACAGGTGCAGCTCAACAAGAAAACACTCTTTCTTATAAGAATAAACATTAGAGGAATAGAAAAGACACAGCTACAAAAGTATTAGTGAGGCAGCTAAACGACAGGCTTTCACAAATGTGCTGAAGTCAATAATGGTAATCTTTGACCCTGAAAAGGCTCATATTGCCGTCCAAAGTGTTGTCCCGACGAAAAAAGGAGACATGTTTATGAAAACCAAAGATGTTAAAGATGGAGTTGTATTCTTTCGGCAAGTAGAAAAGTCAGTAGCTCGATAAAATATGGTGGTATTCAAAAACATAAATGTTACAATGGAAGTCTAAAACCTGAAAACCATTGTCTAAGACAGATGGCTAGATCAAACATTTAAAATGGATTTTGTCAAGAATACTAAAGATTAATGAAGACTTGAATATTAGGAAAAAAAAGATGTTTTATTGAATTTTAACCCTGATTTCTAATAAAACACAATTTCGCAAATACAAAAAAATCGATATAACTCTGAAAATTTCAAATTTACTGTTTTGCCACCATTTTTACTTGATATAGTATATTTTTTGACGAATTAAGAAAAAAATTATTGCAATAACGTTTTTTTAACAAATCATTTAATTACTGATTTCTTTTATTCTAAATACTCGTTAGATAGTTCACTTCAACATGTAGCTGAGACTTTTGAGATCAAAATAAAATTTTAGGTAAAAAAAAAGTCAAAGTCGAAAATTCAACAGTATTCCACGAAAAACTTTGTAAAATCAATACATTTTGAGAATTTACTTTTTAAACTGATCTAAGACATTAAAAATCATTGTTTTGTACCTGAATAAAGTGTTATTTGCACTTAAAAAATTTGCACTTACTGTAAATTGTAATCATTGTTAATTTCCATTTTTTATAAGACTTATCAAACGATTTTTTTGAATATATTATTGTAATTTATTCAATTTTGATACAACATAACTTTAATAAAAGAAGTAGAAGTTTAAAAATTTTTTCATATTCTTTGTAAAGTTTTCGAAAACAGGTATATATAATGCATTAACTAAAAGATTTAGAAAAACGATGGTTTAAGTATTTCTTCTTCAACGTAATAAAGCTTTTGAATTCTTATTATTATCTAAAACATAACTTGGTATTAATCTTTAAAAGGAAGTCGGTTTGAACATAAATTATAATAGGTAACAAATCTTGTATTCTACTTTTACAGTCGTAAAATAATTTTCTCAAATAGTACTAAAAACGTCTATCTCTAAATAATATCAAGGAATATGCTATCTCAAAACAGTACATAACTTTATATTTTATTAGCAAAGATTTTTAACCGTTAGCATACATAAAAATTAAAATAAATATATAAATTATAGCATACGTTATAATTAATTTATATTATGTTAATGAGCACTGATACATAAATCTGAATTTTTTTCTATTATGCAAAACCTTTACTGTTGAAATCATGATACTCAATGAATACACTTCTTCATTTATAAATAATAATAGTAATAATAATAATTATTGTAATAACTACCTCTCTAGAGGATGCAAGACCTTGATGAAGATTGTGCTGTTTGGAGTTTGAATCTGGGGAGGGGGCTTAAAACTAAGAACTGTATCACCCCGTTGTGTGGAAGGGTAAACAACGGTTATAACAGTAAAAACATTTTTTCACAGCCAGCTACCTCTTGTAGTACTGCACCCAGAAGGCTAGAGGAGACAACGTCGGAAAAAAAAACTCACAGAAGGGCTCCACATTTTTGCTCAGCCATGGACGAACAGACTGCTAAGCACTTGAAGTGATGCAAGTGACATCAGTAATGTCTGCTTTTTGAGGAGCAACACCATAATGGATCTGGAATATACCAGCAACATAAGATCAAAACTAAGTGTTGAACAGATAAAGGAGAACCTTGTATTCATAAAACTTGAAAATATTA